AGATTGAAAGTAATATCGCAACTAATTTTTATGCAAAGTTCTAGCCATAATATTGTGTATTTATATTGTTATCTTTCTACGTTCGTGGCAATATACGTTTTCTTTTATGCTGCAAAATGTCTTCAACTAATTTTTTAAGAGGAGCCAATTTTTCTTCTATATTATCAAGAAACCATTACCGATTATGAAAAACTTTTAATTCATCAAGAATACGTTGTACTTGAAGATCAATATAAGCATCATTAATTATAGAATTAAAACTATAACATTAAATAAATTATTAAAATTTATCTCGTTTAGAACATAAAACAATCGAATATGTTTTTGTTCGACTATATCTACAGACTTAACCATTGTTTCATTTTCATTACTTGTCAAAGAAATTTCATCAATGCTTGAAATAGAATTATTAACTGGTGTTTCATAGTTATTTTTTTCAAGATTACAATATGCTCTTATTTCATTTCAAGGATTATTTGGTGATGCTGAGATTAGAGGATATGTTGAATTGTGACGGATCTGAATATTTAAATAAATTAAAGTTTATTTATTTATTTATTTATTATTTTTTTAAAGAAAAAAGTATATAATAATACATTATAAAAAAATGAATGCGGTTTCGAACCAATTGGAACTACTAGATGTTTACATAAAAAAAATCAGCTTATTGCAAAGTAAGAACATGAACAAAACTAGCATTCATGATTTGTTAAATACTGTTCGAAGTTACAAGATCATGATGCTAATAAATTACATTCTTTTTGGAATTCTTTTCACTATGAAGTAAGTTGACGTCCATGGTATAGTAATTTAAATATATCAATTTGATGAGTGATAGCCTAAATTAGAATGTATAAAAAAAATAATTAATTTAAAATATAAATTAGTACATATAGAAATACATGCCTTTTTTATAATAATGAAGCATAGCAGATCCAAACAGGGATGATTGAACTTATAAAAGTAATTTCTTTTTAGAAATCTCCAATGTGATTCAATCACCATCGTAGTGTGTAAAATGCCAATATCGTCAAATGATGATCGTGCCCAAAAACACCACTGCTTTCAAAAATACCATTCGCACCAGAGATATGACCATACCATGATTAAATTATTATTATGACAATATGTATACATTTCTGTAACACATTCAACCCAGATTACATCTTTAT